ATTACAGTTATGAAGTAGCAACAAAAATAATTTTATGGTTGGGGGTCACCACATCATGAGGAACTGTATTAAAGGGTCGCGGCATTAGGAAGGTTGAGAACCACTGCAGAGAATTAAACCCTAATACCCTGAGGCGTCCATTGTATGTAGGAACTCACTTTTCTCTTCCTCATCTCAGGCTGGTCAAGGAGCCACTCAGATAAGGTTCCAGCTCTGTGGTGTAGAACCTGCATTGGAAAAGGCTGAGCGGATTGAGCTGTAGACCCCATCCAGACTCTTCAGTTCCATCTCTAGTGAAATAAGGTTTTATATAATACCGATTGTGTTAACTCAACATATATCCTTTCTTCTCTAACTTTGGGCTCAGTTTGTTCTTTTTCTAGTTCCTTAAGGCATAGATGTCGAGTTTTTATTTGCGTCTGTATTGCTGTGAACTTCCCTCTTAGAAATGTTTTGCTGCATCCCATAAGTTCTGGCCTGTTGTATTTCCATTTTCATTGGTCTCAATAAACTTTCTCACTTCCCCTTTAATTTCTCTTTTGACCCATTGGTTGTTCAGGAGAGTGTTAATTTCCATGTGTTCATGAGTTTTTCAGTTTCCCTTTTGTTGTTAATTTCCAGTTTCATGCCATTGTGGTCAGAGAAGATACTTGGTCTGATTTAATTCTTCTTGAATTTGCTATGAATAGTTTTTTGACCTGACATATGGTCTAGCCTAGAAAATCTTCGTGTGTCCTCAAGAATGTGTGTTCTGCTGCTGTTGGGTAGAGTGTTCTATGTCCGTTAGGTCCATTTGGTCCATTTGGTCTGTAGTGCTGTTTAAATCTGCTGTCTCGTTGATTCTCTGTCTCGATGACCTTCCGTTGCTGAGAGTGGGGTATTAAAGTCCCCAACTATTATCCTATCACTGTTTATTTTTTTCTTTTAGCTCTGTTAGTTATTATAGTATTTGTAATAATAAATGTGAGGGTACTTTGTAAAGTATGAGCTGAGTTTAAAAAGGTTAGGCTGTATTATTTATGGGAGAATTGATTTGGTAGTGCAGGCTTTTTGTGAAAGTACATTTCTGATAAGTTATGATGAATGGAAGGCTTTGAAATCACTTTGTGTCAATTCATATAATTCCCTAGGGCAATCAGGAAGCCATTTGTAACTAGTTTTGAAATTTAGTAAAAAAAACCTTTCTCTACCACAGGCCTGCAAATTTCTAGGTCACATAAAAAAGTAGTACCGCTTGGAAAGTGAAATGTGGGGCTCTTATGAGTAAATGATTGTTCCACAGACAGTCTGTGAAGGCTCACTCTATAAAATACAATGCCGTCTATTTCACTTTATCTTCAACCAAACTATAAGCTCTGAGCAGGTGATATTTATGCCTACCTTGTATATCAGGAAATTGATATGAAGAAAGTTGGGAATGACTGTTGTAGGATAGTCTGGGTCCCTACCCTTTTGTTGTTGTTCTGTAGGCTACTGCCTCTCCACAAAATAACAATTTACTTTTTAAAAAATGGCTTCTTGGTTACTTTGTTCAGTTATATTACTATCTCCAATTTTAAACAGATTAAACTTCCTTTTAAGAGAGGAACCAACATAATCACTTGCCCTGGAAGTATGTCATGACTGGATTTCCCTTCATAGAATAATATTATGAAATAGTCACGCTCCTATGGTAGTAGGTTGAGTCCCCATTAGTACTTCTAGGGCAGGGGGACAGGGGAAGTAAGATAACTGTTATGCAAGATGTTAATACTTGGGGACGATAGGAACTCCCTCTACTCTCTTTGTACCTTTTCTACAAATATGAAATTATTCTACAATTAAAAGTTAAAAAAACAAACAAACTATGTTTATCTGAAGAAGTGTATACTATCGAAGAAAATAGCAAAGGTGGCCAGAACTAAAAACAGGTGTCTGACATCCCAGGTGGCCAGAGAGAGATTGAGAAAGAGGCCCAAAGCAGGCAAGCAGAGCTAGATACCGGCATCTCAGTTCCCTCGTAGATGGTGCAGAGAAGGGGATCTCTGCTCAGAGAAGCACTGGTATCCACAGCAGGCCTGCTGGAAGCATCTAGAAAAAGCATGTGCATACAGTTGGGGAGTGAAGTCATCTTATTTTCCAGTTGGTCTTTTCTTTTCTTTCACAATCTCTTATATGGCATCACAAACATTTGCAGGCTCTTCCCTGTGACCTCCCCAATTTTCTTTTTCCTTTTATATTTTATGTCCAATGTAGATTAAAAAATCACCTAAAAGTTGGGAACATTCTATTGCATAGAATGCCAAGAACAGGAGTAGCAGAAAGGGAAGATTTGATGGATGTGTGTGTGAGTGTATTTATCTTCTTTGAATGCTAGACAAGCAGTGCTTCTTTTTAACTGTCAGATTCTGCCATGGAAATCCACGCATGTCTTTGAGGGCTCTCCAAACACAGATGAATTGGTGGCCTTTTGCAAGGCTATTCATAAGAACATCTGTTACATGCATACGATTTTGCGCGCTGGGCCTCTAGTTAATAATAACATCTATTACATACATACTCTGGTTAGGCACCAGGCCCGGCGCTTCACATGTATTATCTTATTTAATTCTGCAGGGAAGGCACTAACATATTATCTCCATTTAAAATGAGGAAATGCAGACTTAGCAAGCGTAAGTAAGTTTCTCAAATCACATAGCAGGTAAATGGTGTGGCTGAGATGTGAACCTAAGAATTCTACCTCTTTTCTATTAAGACATGTATTTGCATTCTTGAGAATTAAAATATTTGTGGTTGTCTCATGAAGCATGCTACTGAGACATAAAAATTAAGAAATTTCAGTATCATTTCAAAAGAATATTAAAATTTAGGAGCATGGTTGTCTAATGGTTTTCTCTGCACGTAGCACATTTATCAGTTACCAAAGGGAAATTAGTCTCTACAAAATGGAAATAATAAAAACCCGACCTCCCCCTCTTAGGAAAGCCGCCAGGACTAAGTATGGCTCCATTTCCTCTCCTTGGGGATGACTGCTAAAGGACCTGGGATACGTCCAATTCTATTTCCCAGAGATTATATTTGACTCTGACATTGGGCATTTTCTAGATGACATCCAAAGAGTTAGTGGAAAAGAATAAGTATCAAGCATTTCACCACTTCTTCTGAAATATCTGCTCCTTGCTCGGTTATCGATGTTTTAAACTGTCAGGGAGTGTCCCTACTTTTTTCCTGTTTTTGTCGTTGGCCTAGAATTCTCAGGCCTGGTTTCTCCCCGGGTGAAATGTTGACTTCTAATCGGCAACACTGCTCATGTTTTAGGGCTAATCTTGTAAATGAGGGGGTGTCTGTTTTTCTTATTGAAAACTGTATTCCTCGTTTCAGGGCAGATTGCCTGAGATGGCTTTTCCAGTCTGTGCACGAAAGTCGTCATCCTTCCGCTCTTCTGCAGGCGGTGGGCTTTCGAGGTCCTTAATCAGACTTGCTTTTAAAAATCACCTCATGGAATGATGTTTTAAAAATGAGGACAAAGGACTACTTTGTTACTGTGTGGATTTTGTATTTATCCAATAACTTCTGGATAAGTATCGCCTCACAGTGTGGGAAGACTCCTGGCTTATTAGTCTAAATTCTGAAACATTGCGTGTTTGATTGGGGCGTTGTTGGGTGTCTGACTAGTTGGTTGGAAGCGAGTGGGACTGGGGAAGAAGCCAGGAAGGGGCAGGACTGAGAATGGGAGTCGGCAAGCGGGGGGACACGAGAAATCTCTCCTTAACTGTAGGAAGTGCAAGGACAAGGCCATGCCTACCACCTGGGGTGACAGGGACACTGGGAGTGCCCTGAGAACTTCCAGTGCATGTCTCCTTTAAAAAGGTCTTTCTCGAGCCTTTATGCCAAATCAGTGTTTCCCCAGGAGCCCAGGCCAATGAATTAGAAATAAAGCCCTTTGTGTGAGTGATCCCTCAGCCCAGCTGTTCTCCCCACAGCACAGCAGCAGCGGGTAAACAGGGCAAAGGTCCGGACACAGCTGTGGGCTGACGTCACCATCTGGGGCTGCGCCTGTGCACTGGGCTGTGTACTAGAGCAGCAAAGACCCGCTCCCCATCTGGCCCAGCTTCTCCCCTCCACTCCACTCCCCTCCCCTCCCGTCTGTCTGTCTGTCTGTCCTCCCTTCACCCCACTGGCAGTGGCGAGCTTCCGCCTAGAAGCTCTTCTGCTTTCTAGTTCTGATATGAGCATTTGGATGGGCTAAACTATCATTTTCTCTACCCTAAAACCATCATTTTCCTTCCATAACTCCTAATATATATATATATTCCTTACAAAAAGAGAGGTAAGGATTAATTTAACACATTCACCAGTCCCCATTTTCTGTTATCCCACTTATCTGTATTTACCATCAGTGAAGGAAGGCTGGAAAAGTCCAAAGTCAAACTTTCTGAGAAATGAGATCTTCCAGGCTTATACAGTGAGTGGGAGTGTGGATTTGTGCGTGAGTTCTGCAATGTACTGTTGGTAATTCTGGTGAAAAGTAGGATGTTCTGATTTTAAGTTATGTTTATCAAATTACTTTGCCTTTTTAAAACTATTAACCTTTCAGTATATTATTATTATTATTGTCATATTACGTTATATAGCTTTTAAAATGTGTTTTTCCCTAAAGTTTGTATGCTCTGGTGATTTGTTTTCAATATAGTCTAATATTTTGCTGTTTATTGCTGTATTTTTTAAATAAGTTGCGATCAGTTCGAATGAAGTACAAGCTAAATCCATTTGTTCTTCTCTCTGGTCTTCCCTGCCCCTTCTGTGTCTTAGCTTCTCCCTACTTGGCTGCCCTCAGAGACACCTGGCCAATCAGAGCCTCCTCTCCCTATGGGCCCTGCACTGATTGGTCACCATGGAAAAGGGTGATCTTCACTGGGAACCTGGTTCTTTTTCACTGTTTAATTCTGTACTATTAGGTTTGAAATCTGGTCACCGAAGAACTGAGATATCCCAGCTGTGTGTGAATGTTACGAATTTAGGACCTTGAACAAGTCAGATGTCATCTTTCTCTTTTTTCATCTCCAGTCACTGCTTCGACCGCCTGTGAGAAATTAGAGAAAGCCAGGAATGAGTTGCAAGCAGCTTATGAAGGATTTGTCCAGAAGCTGAACCAGCAGCACCAGACGGATCTCACCGAGCTAGAGAATCGGCTCAAAGAGTTCTACACCGAGGAGTGTGAGAAGCTCCAGAACATTTACATCGAAGAAGCAGAGAAGTACAAAACTCAGCTGCAAGAGCAGGTCTGTGCGTTAGGGACCAGGGTGTCCTTGGCTCTTTACTTGAATTTTATTTGTTTGATGATCTACTTCCTTTATGAACTTCTCTTTGTTGAACATCCTTTTTATTTATTTAAAAATGTGAAAAGGGTGTTTTTTTAAAATATACTTTTATTGATTTTAGAGAGGAAGGGAGAGGGAGAGAGAGAAACATCAGTGATGAGAGGGAATCATTGATTGGCTGTCTCCTGCACGCCCCCTACTGGGGATCGAGCCCGTGACCCAGGCATGTGCCCTTGACAGGAATTGAACCTAGGACCCTCCGGTCCACAGACTGACGCTCTATCCACTGAGCCAAACCAGCTAGGGCTAAAAGGGTTTTTAAATTAATTTTTTTCTTATGATGAAAGCAGTGTACATGTGTTGAGCAAAAGGGAAGGAAAAAGATAAAATTAAAAACAACCCTTTATCTTATTACCTAGAAATAATCCCTTTGTGACCATTCTGTTGTTGTGCTGCTAAATTTGGGGTTGAATTTCTTTATTTTTTTAAAAATGGCCCTTGTTTAATAACCCATAATTTTCACCTATTAGTATATTAAAAGCTGCTCTTTAATTTCCTTGTTCCCTTTTTAAATCTGTTTAACGTTTAGCAAATATTTAGAGTACCTACTATACGCCATGCGCTAGGGACTGAGGATATAGAGGCCACCATGGCAGGGGTGGAGCCAGTGTCCTGTCACCGGGACACACCCCCTCATTCCTTGTGATGGATTCACCATGTCCGTCAGTGCGCCCTGGCGAGCTGTGTATCTGATCCTGAGTGGGATGGAGTGAAGGCCTGGGAGTGGCAAATTCAGATGGGGTTGGTCTTGACATGCGTTAGGTAGGCCTTCAACTTGAATTCAAGTTTATGTGTCAAGATTCCTACTGGTACTACTTACTGTTCAACTTAGGACTTCTGATTCTACTGGTAAACTGTTGTTTTGTTGTGTTTTTTCTTACAGTTTGACAACTTAAGTGCTGCCCATGAAACCTCGAAGCTGGAAATTGAAGCTAGCCACTCAGACGAAGTGGAATTACTGAAGAAGGCCTATGAAACCTCCCTTTCAGGCAAGATTGCTTGTTTTCAGTTTAAATAGAATAAGATCTAATGGAACAGCATAATACGTTGTAAAGCGGACATGATTCATCACTTCCTCCTCCAGAAAATGCAGTTTGGGGTGTTTTGGCTTCTTTTTGCATTGTTCATTGTTAGCCATGTCCTATCCCCTAAGGGTGCAAATAATAGTTTGTTATAAATGACAGCATTTTAGGAAGTAGGCAAGCTTTTAAAGAACGTAAAGGTCTTTTAGGAACGTCGTATTTGACCCCCTTAAGTTCTGGGACATGGAGGTGTGAGTTTGTATCCTGGCCGTGGTATGGGGTCCATGCTGAGCACTCTTGCTCACCAGCACACCTCCACACCGACATCCGGTGAAAAGGGAGATGGCTCTTGTTGAATGAAGAATCTTTATTATGTCACCACGATTGGGAGGGTTCAAGTGGAAGGAAAAGAAAAAGAAGCTGTTTCTTTCAGAACATAGTTGGCCGTGTAGCCCAAGTTGTTACACTAAACTCATTGTATCCTACAGAGCAGCGTGTGGATGGGTGGTAAGGACTGGCTGCGTGACCTTCAGCAAAGGCCTTTTTCATCAGGAAGTACAGCCGGCCGGTGTGGCTCACTGGCTGAGCATTGACCCCTGAACCAGGAGGTCACAGTTCGATTCCCAGTCAGGGCACACACTCGGGTTGCAGTCTCGACTCCCAGTAGGGGGCGTGCAAGAGGCAGCCGATCAGTGATTCTCTCTCATCATCGATGTTTCTCTCTCTCTCTCTCCCTTCCTCTCTCTGAAGTCAATAAAAACATTTAAAAAATTTAGAAAACAGAGTTGTTGTGTGAAGTCCCAGATGATAACATGTAAAAGTGACCGGCCCAGGGTAGACATTTAGTAAACATAGTTTTCCTTCCTTCCTCCTAGAAATGGGTTTAAGTTTAGATTTCTGTTTGGTTCATGACATGCAAATGGAGAACACAGGAGCTCCAGGGCGGGGGGCTGCAGGCCAGGGTTCGAGTCTGCTCTGTGTCCCCTATACGCTCCTGGCCCCTGTGGGCCTCAGTGATCGCAGTAATAAACGGGGACTATGTGCCTTTCTCGCCTCACAGGGCTGATCCGAGAACAGGTTACTTATATGAAAGCATCGCACAAATATGAGGCAGCAGCCATATTACTTTGTCACCAACTCTTGAGAATATGTGCTTAACAACTACAGAACACAGTGACCTCATAAGACATTAAAATATACCACTTCTTTCCAGAAATCAAGAAAAGCCATGAATTAGAAAAGAAATCACTTGAGGATTTGCTTTCTGAGAAGCAGGAATCCCTAGAGGTGGGTACATCTCAATACAAAAAATAATAATAGTAGTAGTTCTTGAGCTTGGAGGTATGTGGGTTTGGGTATGTTTTTGCGCACATTCTGCTGTGTTTCTGGTGTCGGCGTGCCGACTCATGTCCACATTTCATTATTTGTGTTTTAGAAACAAATCACTGATCTGAAGAGTGAAAATGAGGCTTTAAATGAAAAGCTGAAATCAGAAGAACAAAAAAGACTCTCAAGAGAGAAAGCGAATTTAGTAAGTCGCGTGATCCTCCATCACTACTGAGTTCTCCTCTCCTCCTCCTTAGCCGCCTTTTCAAGTCCAGTTATGTTCAGCAGCAGAGAAACAGCAGCGTCTGGAGCCCTCTCAGCTCTTGAGCTGTGCTGTTTAAACTGTATTGAACGGCTTCTGTGTATAGTGGTGTGTTTTTAGAATCTTAAACACTGGCATGCAGATGAAGCCCAGTAGACAGGGTGTCCTCCCCAAATGTGTACGTCGTGTTTATTAAAATACATTTCCTTTTCATTTAACAGCTACCAGCTGTTAAAGTGTGTATACATTTGGGGGGGATACCCTATATATTGCAAGTGGTCTAAGCTAATACCTACAGGAAGACAAGAAAAGTATCAGTTTAGGGGCAGGCGTTTGTTTGAAGTCTTCACTTTTTTTTTTTTTAACTGACTGCTATATTGAGATATAATTTATATACCTTATAAAATGTGCAATTCGGTGGTTTTTAGTATATTCACAGAGTTGTGTGTTGGTCCCCAGTATGTAATTCCAGAACATTTGTATCAGCCCTAAAGAACCTTGTACTCATTAGCAGTCAGCCCCTCTCCCCCCACAAAGCCCCAGGGGGTCACCAGGCTACTTCCTGTCTGTGTGGCTTTGCCTCTTCATTTAAGCGGAATCGTGTCTGTGGCCTCCTGCGTCTGGCTTCTTCCACGGAGCGTCCGTTCTTGGCGTCCATGCGTGTTACAGCAGGTATAGGGACTTCATGCCTTTCCTTGGCCGAACAGTATTTCCTTGTATGATTGCTCCTCCCTTTTGATAAGTACAACACTTTTTTCTCTTGTAAGCTCAACTTGCTCTTGTAGCTTGTACCCTCACTCCCCTGCCTCACTCCGTTTTTTTGGAGAAAAAAAAAAGTTTACCGCTTGTGTTTTGAGAACCACTGTTCATAGCCTGCTGCCCTGAGGCTGGAAGCAGAGCTTTTAGCCACTGAACTCTGCCGCCAGCTCAGGAAGTCCCTGGCGGGGGGTGTCTCCCACTGTCCATCTGTGTCATATGTTTTGGACGGTTCACTTGAATTTCCATAAGTAAAGCAAGGAGTCGGGCATCTCCCCTGGAGTTGGGCTCTAAGAAGGCATCTCCCCTTTCGTAGCGTTTATTTGATAGACTTTGGGTAGTACCTGTGCTATATGCCGCGTCGGTGTTGGGGTGTCACAAAATAAAATGACAGGGTGTCACGCCTGCCCTAGGACGGCTAGGCCAGCGCAGTCCCATCTCACTAAAAACCCAAAAGACGCAGGACAGTACCATCATCTCTGTGGTTTTCCAGAGAGCCCTGAGTATGCACCATCTTTTCATTCCTGGGCAGGGGCTGACCTTGGTGAGAGAGAACTGTTGTTCCCTTTCCTCCCCCCAAACACCAGCGGTAGGCTTGGAGACACCCCGTTTCTGGTCAGAATTCTGTTTTCTATTGTTAAGCAATAGTTTTGCTCCTACTTCCGATAAAACACTTGGTGCTGCCAATACCTTCTCCACGTTAAGTTGCTGATAAGTTCGTGAAACCTTGGTTTCAGATATGAAATGTTTTATGTCATCCTTAGAACCGGCGACTTTGAGGTTAACGTTATCCTAACCATTCCTTTCACCTTTTTTCTTTGAAACCACGGTAAGGAGGTAGAAGCTTCCTGCCACTTTGTCTAATTCCTGTCTAATCAGAGATTTTTTTTTTTAATTAAGAATGTGGGATTGCATTTCATGACCTGCTGTGTCTTTCGCAGAAAAACCCTCAGATCATGTACCTGGAGCAGGAGCTGGAGAGCCTGAAGGCCGTGCTGGAGATCAAGAACGAGAAGCTGCACCAGCAGGACGTGAAGCTGATGAAAATGGAGAAGCTGGTACGTTTCTGTCGGCGCCTCCCCCAAGGGACTGGCGTCTGGGAAGCGGGAACCAGCTGTGACCTAGAACCGGGGGTTGTTATAACTGCTCCTGAAGCTATTTGAAAATATAGCACAGGCAAAAGAGGTTAGGTTCCGTTTCCCTTTCTGTGCTTGCTCCAAGCTGGCCATTGCTGCCTTCGGCAACACACGCCCCCCCCGCCCCCCCCTCCCCCACCAAGGAACAGGTAAAGCAGCAGGGGGTCCTTGGGAAACCCACACCTATGGAACCGGCTCCCCTTCCAGGGGTCTGTGCATCTTGTCCTGCGTGGGAGGAGTTTTCAAATCATGTCCAATCAGTACTTTGATGTTTCTCCTACTCTGGGCAGGTTTCGGGTGCCCCAGAGAGCTAGACATGGGAATTAGTCACAGTGGAGCAGTTGAGTCTGGCTACCGAAGTTCTTCGTCGTGCTTCTTGTGAATTAGAATGGGCTCAAGACTGTGCTTTAGTAAAACGAATCCAGTGGGATAAATAACACGCACTATGGAGGCTGTGAGTGGAATTTAGTTTGTGGCTCTCGGGCAGAGAACTGATGCTCCGAGGCCCCCTTTTCTGACATTCTAGTCTCGTTTGTAGGACGGTATTTCATTTGACTGACTTGTCCGGAGCATTTTCTGGATAATATGATATGTTGAGAACAATAGGATCCCACACTCAGAGCCACAATCAAAGTAGAGTAGTCGTACGGTACGATGACAGGGACTTAGAATTAACTGTGACAGAGCCGTGATGTCATCTCCTAAGCAAGTAATACAATCTTACCTTTAGAAAGCGCTCTGGGAGGTAATCAGCTCCCCAGCATGTTAAATGTCTTCTGGGATTTTATCCCTTAACCTCCCAGCCGATCAATGTGTCTTCCTTGAAATTGAGCCTGGGCAGGCCAGCAAGGAGGCCAAATGTGCCTTCACCTGAACTGGGGGTGGGGGTGGGGGGGAGGCTCTCTGTGCTGGCGTTTCTCTCATTGGACGCTCGTTTTGTAAATTGCTGCTTTGTGGGGCTACTGAGAGGTAAATGGATGCTGAAGAGGAAACCGTGTTTAAGGCCACATCAAACATCACCCAGAGCGGTGACCTGCTGTTGGCCTTAGAGTTTTCATCAAACGTGGGAATGTATTTTTTGCAAGACGGACCATAAGAAGGGCTGGTGCCCTTGATAAATGCCGGCCTATGTCTGGCTGCTGCTTTTGTTTTCCCACCTTGAACCCAAGAGGTACGACGACCCCAGTTCTCGGAGGGGTTGGGAGGAACCTCTAAAATGGCGTGACACAGACTAACTCAGTCACCCCCTTGTGTTCATTGTTCAAGTGGTTCTTGAAATCTGACAACGCATTTAAAAACAACAACAACAACAAAACCCCCTAGATCAAGCATGTCAGACTCGGGGCCGGTGGGCCGCATGCCTCATTTATGACTCCCGCCAGCCGGGAGTTTGACATGCTTGACCTAGATGCTCTGCTTTGCTGCTGCAGACTCTGTTTTGCAATGTCCATGGATAGGTATTTCACTATATTTAAACTTGCCTCAATTGGATCTCTCCAGCGTGTGCTGGTGTCAGGAACGTGCCGTAGGAAACGAGGGCTTTGTTTCCCTGTTTTTGATGTCTAACCGTTGGCATGCTTGTTCGCCCCCAGGAGGACAACAACACAGCGCTGGTCGACAAACTGAAGCGATGTCAGCAGGAGAACGAGGAGTTAAAAGCTCGGATAGACAAACACATTGCAATTTCAAGGTAAAGAGAAAACCGTCCAGTTTTTCCCATCTCCTCCTCCTACGTTTAGTGTCACTGGACCTCACACCCGCCCAGGCGCCTCCTGGGAGCAGGATTGCAGTGGGTGGTAGAGCAGGTGCTGGTTTCTACCTGGGAAGCGTGATGGTGGCACTTCATGGCCTGACCGTCGGGGCCTGGGCAGGGCGCTGAGACCTAAGCAGGCCTCCCCCCAGAGCCCCTGGCTTAGTGACGCTGAGATGCCTTCAGAGAGAGAGCATCACAGGACCCAATGGGGAACCGCCCCACACAGGACAATCACGTGGCATTCAGATGATCTGTGGGAGCGTCACGGAGCCTCCTGTGACATTGGCCCCAAAGAGCAGCTTTCTCTTTGGCTCCCACTTCCTGGGTTTCTTAGGCAGCCAGTAGCCCTGGGCAGGACTGCCTTTTATTATTTCAAAGGGGTCATTTTCTGGACTCTCAAATTTAAAAAGGCAAGAACATTCTTTTTCAAGTACATTTTTTAGAAATTCAGATCCATGCTCAGCTGGGTGTGGCTCTGTGGTTGAGCATTGACCTATGAGTCAGGAGGTCATGGTTTGAGTCCTGGTCAGGGCACATGCCTAGGTTGCAAGCTGATCCCCCATAGGGGGCGTGCAGGAGGCAGCCGATCAATGACTCTCATCATTGATATTTCTCTCTCTCTCCCTTCCTCTCTGAAATCAATAAAAATAAAGACCCATGTGGTTTCTGGCTTTTTTTTTTTTTTTTGTCTTTAAGGCAACTGTCCAACGAGCAGGCCACCCTGCAGGAGTGGCTGGAGAAGGAGTCGAAAGTCAACAAGCGCCTGTCCATGGAGAACGAGGAGCTGCTGTGGAAGCTGCACAACGGGGACCTGTGCGGCTCCGACAGGTCCCCCACGTCCCCCGCCATCCCCTTCCAGTCGCCGCGCAATTCCGGCTCCTTCCCCAGCCCCAGCGTGTCGCCCAGATGACACTTCTGCACGCGGGAGACTGTCAGAGAGCACCGTCACAGGTCCGCAGGGCTGACCCTCACCGTGGTCCAGGGATCAAGAGCCACGTGGGCCGACGTGTCATTACCGCCCTAGAACTGGAAAGTCTTGACCCCCTGCATCGGCTCCCTGCGAGACCGGCGCTCAGGGGGAACACGTGGCTCTCTGGCCAAGGGACTCCTCCCCAAAGGATTTCAGAATCGATCTGCACGGACATTTGCACAAAGCACTTAAAGAACATTGCCTTTTCCACGTAAGCATAAGGGGAAAAACTCTCAGGGGCCTCTTAAGATAAAGATTTATAACCTTTATAATGTTCTTCGCCACAGGCACCTTCTTGTGATTTTTATTTGGGGGACGTGTGAATAAAAGGGATGTAGCGAGTGTCCTGTGTCTGATGCTGCCTCCTTTGCTGTGTTCTGCAAGTCAAAAGCTGCGTATTTCCGGGTCTGTACTAATCAGCTAAGTCAGTGTATGCATCTCTGCAAAAAGCCATAGAAGGAAGAGCAATCGTTGCTTGAATGATGACGCTCTCTGCCACCCACTCCGCTCCACCCTTTGACACGGGGTGGGGTGGGGAGTGACAGGAAGCGTTCCGACTGGTCCGTGTCTGTGCAGTGTCTGTATCCTTTGGAAGTTTCTTGGCATTCTTTCAGTGTTCAGCCATGTCGGTTAAAATTAACAAGTTTGTGTGTTTTTTTCTGTAGACTTTTAACGTTCCCATGTGAACCTAACATTTTACTACGATCCATTTTCTCAGGCTACGAGCAAATGTAAAACCCAAATTTTTCTAAAATTCTGTATAAAGAAAAGGGGCGGCAGCAGTGGATTGCTCCTGCCTTATGTTTACCGTGACCTAAGCTGTCCTCACTGATGTCAACTATTGTCTTCTCCCCTGATCCTCGCCTCCTCCCTTTCCTTCCTTCCCCCAGCCAGAGCCACAAAGGCAACCCTCCTACCTCCTTCCTATTGTTCTCTGGGACAAGGATAGTGGCATATGCTTTTCCAGAGCCAGCTCATCCTCAAGGTGCTGACACCACGCTCCAAATAAGCCACAGCCTGGACCTGAGAGTACAAGTTTTGGGAAACCCTAGAAGGAATAAAGAACGAGAGAGTCATTGGCTCATGTTTATCGATGAACAGGAGTACCTTGATGAAACCAACGATGCAGCATTTCATAGAAGATAACGCCAAGTTCCCATGTACCCTTTGAGGAACCCGTCTGTCTTTGGGGAGGTAGAATGGCCAGCTTCCGAGTAGAAAATGTGGCTTTTCCTACTCGTAGGACTCTCCTCCAGGTTGCATTTCAGTTTCTCTTCCAAACTTCACGTATTACCTCCCCCAGTTCTCATACTTTGGGGGAGGGGGGAGGAAGCACTGTGGCTTCCCCCACCCTGCCCCCCTTGCATGTGTCAACATGGTGATGTCAGTATTTACTAATCTGCATCGCTGACGTTTGATGGCTGGACAAATAGACCCATGATAAGAACAGGTTCAGGATACTAGAGGGGGGTCTTTGAGTCATCATTACATGTACATTACATAGCAAATTAATATTCATGATGCATGGTGTTTTCTTTTTAATTATTAGTGGTTGTGTCTGAAGTCTAAGCTTCACTAGTGTAGTGTGTATGTTACCTTCCGTGTGTGCTTCTGATGAACGGGAATAGGCCCGCTGCCACCTTCCGAGATCTCTCTCTGCTTACCCTTTCCAGTTGTGCTCAGTGTCATTAGCCGAGGTTGGATTTGCCACCCGTGCCCGCGCATGGTAAATCTCGTGCTGATCCCTGCTCTCCTCCATACCCTTTAGGTGTCCGGGGAAATCAATCTTACACAGTTAGTATAAAGTGTCTTCAGAGACAACTGGAGGGAAGGTAGGAAACAACATGGAGAACCTGAAGATTGTTTTCAAACCAAATGTTTCATGTGGGATGTACAATGTTGGCACGTCGTACCGTGTACGGATGTGTAAAAACTGTAATTGTGCCCAGTTTGTAATGATGCAAAGTGTATTTTTACCCTGATTAAATAAACAATGCTGGAATATTTAATATAAGAAGTGCAACCTGTGACATACTTCCCTCTCCCAGGGGCTACCCAGCTCACAGCCCTTCTCACAGCCCAGGCGTTTCCAACGCAACCCCTCCTCAGCCCTTTCCCAGGAATTTCCAACGCAACCACCAAACAGGCCGTGGGCTGAAATTTGGCTCACAGAGCTAAGCTTAGAATGAAGCTTCTCTTTGGTTTTAACAATTTCCGCTCTTTAAGGTAAGAAAACTATGGTCTAAATATTTTTTTGCAGATGCTACAAAAGGTCTAAATGAAGTTGAATTTTCCTTGATCTGCATACCTATTTTATATTGAAAATTAAACTTTTAAACACACATGCTGTAAATTTTTCTGAATGTACTAATCTAGAACTAGTTACTTCTGAGTGCAGCCTTTTTTTTTTAATAAAAAGCAAGTTTCTATGATTTTTTTGGATACTTTCATATCATAGTCCATATATAGTTACTACATATTTAGATGCTCATGTATTGCGATTAAAATCAAATGGAAATTAAGGTTAACCCAAACATCACTACCAACGAGTCCTTCTGCCAACCTAAAACACGAGCACTTAGGCCAGTTTTAAATTTATTTTACAAAAACTTGATCATTTAATAGAGATGATTATATAGAGTTGTTCACATATATGCTCTCTAAGTATAAAAACCAGAAACGCATATACGTAGGTAAGCAATCAGAAGACATGCTTTCTGTCCGAGGAGTTAACACGTCTATTATTAGACCGGGCGACTTCCTGTGTGTTTGGATGTCTGGGTCTTACTCACGAGGCAGGGACTGGGGTTTGGCGCTGGACATCAGCCTCTGGCAAAGCCCGAGTCACAAGGACGCCCGAGCTGGTGGTGTGCACACGTGGGCTTCCCGTCAGTCCATTGCACTTCGTTTTCCAAGTCAGGAAAACTCAACAGTGGTAGCTACTGTGGTCTGTCCTTGGAGATTCTGGGCCGTGCAAATGTAATATCCTGCGTCAATGGTCTCAAAGTCTTCCACCGTCACGACGCTCTGGGAGATCCTGGTGGTGTGGCCCAGGCCTCTGTGGATCAGCCTCCAGGTGTCCTGGATCGTCACGGGCCTTTCATCCTGTGTAACGACACCCACAGGGATGAAGCAAGGAGGACACGCGGCTATAAACAGGTCCCAGCCACTCAACACGGAGCCATGCTCAGAAAACACCGGTCTGCAAAGGCCCATGGGTGCTTCCGCACTGTGTAATCATTTTCAGCGGCATGTTTTTCAAAGCACAGTCTGGGATTTCATTATGCTGTTGGACTCCCTCTGCCCTTTTTTAAAGTAAATTTTTAAAAAATATATTGCATTTATTTCAGAAAGGAGGGGAAAGGGAAAGAGATATAGAAACATAAACACTGATCAGCTGCCTCCTGCACACCCCACGCAGGGGATCGAGCCCACAACCAGGGCATGTGCCCTGACCGGGAATCGAACCATGACTTCCTGGTTCATAGATGGACACTCAACCATGCCGGCTGGGCTCTTTTTTTTTTTTTTTAAATATATTTTATTGATTTTTTGCAGAGAGGAAGGGAGAGAGATAGAGAGTTAGAAACATCGATGAGAGAGAAACATCGATCAGCTGCCCCCTGCACATCTCCTACTGGGGATGTGCCCACAACCCAGGTACATGCCCTTGACCAGAATCGAACCTGGGACCTTTCAGTCTGCAGGCCGACGCTCTATCCACTGAGCCAAACCGGTTTCGGCGCGGCTGGGCTCTTTAGTAAATTTCTACTGAATATAAGATTGATTCTTTTGGAACTCCAAGGAGGTAGCCCTGGAATTACTCAAAAAGACGTAGATAAAATTTTCCACACTTCCCTACATTGCCCACGTTCACCCTCTCACTCACTGGTTCTTATTTACAGAATTTCTGGTCAAAAAGAGCCCAGAGCACTCCCCATACAAGTGAATAAAAGCTCCCAATTGTTCAGATTTGGAAGAAAGAGAAGGATGATAAGTCAAATGTGGGAGAAAAGTTGTACCAGGGATGGATAACGTGACGCCCTAAGTGACGTAACTCCCTATTCCAGAAAGTCAGACGGTCACCTCTGAGAGGCTTCATCCAAATCCGGTGATAAGAAAGTAGTATTTTCTGGATTAGCTTAACAATTGTAATATAGTGTAACTCAGTTAATCCCCCTTCTGCTCATAAAATAATAATTAGCAATGTAAAATAAATCTCTATTGAAAACCATTCATGTTTTCTAATTGTGACAACTGTGTAAAAGCAAGTAAGGTACCAGAGCCCGGAAAATACCATTCTCCGGGGAGAGTTATTTTCCACCAATCACAGCCCATAGAGCCAGAAGGGTATTGGCTACTGAGTACATTGCAAGAGGCCAAATCTCTTCTGGCAACAAAGGGATCGTTCCATGTTGGTAGCAGAGCTGTTTCTATTAGCAGAGCATGCACGGAGGCTAAATAATAAGCTGGAGTTGCTTTTATGGGAAATCTATTTTAAAAAGATCTCTGGCCTCACGGCACCTTTTGGACGGGGCCTGTCTGCTCAGAGCTCCTCGCCATGGGCACAGCTTGTGTGCAAGACAGAAAGGCACCAGAAGGAAGTTAGACTGGCCTCTAATCGACAGAATTCAGACTGAAGGTTGAGGTTGGGGTGGAGAAAGAGGGAGGCCCCTCCTGTCCCTTTCAAGCCCCTGTTCCTTCTTATTTAAGGATTATGAAGATCAGCCCAGCTGGCGTGGCTCAGTGGTTGAGCATCAACCTATGAACCAGGAGGTCACGGTTCAATTCCTGGCCAGGCACATGCCCAGGTTATGGGCTCGATCCCCCATGTGGGTTGTGCAGGAGGCAGCCAATTAATGATTCTCTCTCATCACTGATTTTTCTATCTAAAAAAATATTTAAAAAGAATTATGAAGATAAATCACATATGAAGAGGGTACACTGAGTGAATTACCTGATGGAACCCAGTCACCTTTTCTATTAAGAAAAAAAGCCATTTGTAAATATACTGAAACATCTTAGAACAGTGGTCGCCAACTGGTGGTCCGTGGACCACGGGTGGTCCGTGAGGTCCGAAAGGTTGGCGACCGCTGTCTCAGAGGACAACCAGCAAGCCCTGGCACCTACCTTAGTCCCACTCATTTTTTGCACCTCATACGTTAAGGTCTTTATCAGTGGCAGGTGGGGGAGAGAGAGACAAACCTAAACTTGAACAACTGGCTGAGTGAGGGTTAGGTCTTACCTTCTGGCCTGGGTAGATCCACCTGAACTCCACCTCGACGTCAGGCTCCCCGAGGACAGTGCAGAGGACACTGATGTCGTCCCCACTGTTCACTCTGTTTGAAGATGCCAGGATGGTTGTGGATGGAGGGCCGCTGGGAACTGGCATTAAGCAGGAGACAGGGAAAGTGAGATGGAATTCATGAGTGCAACACTGAAGACAAACCTACAGGCACATTCTTTTCTTTGGACGGATGTGTCACATTTCCGCCTCGCCCAGTGAGCACCAGGCCACCTCCACCCCACCACTTTCGGATTCTTTGAAGCCTCCTCTTTCTCTACCTTGGTGGTCCGAATGGGGTCAGCACCCAGAACTCCCCAGGCCCAGCCATTTCCCTTGTGATTAGGGGAGGAGGCTAAAAGGTCTGCCAGGGGTTCATCTGAAGGTCATGGTCACAGACAAGGAAGCACTAGTAGAACATTCTAGAAATAGTGGTGCAATAAAGGAGCCATTAAGAACAGCATTCTGTGCCTCCTAATTTCCATCCATACTCAGGAACAGCAGTGCCTGCTACTGACCAGCTGGAAGCCACTGAAATCTAGGCACTGGTAGGAAACACCCTTACCTTCTGCGTAGAGGAGTTGATACTTGACAGAGATCTGCGACTTGCCCCCGGCCTCCGCCTTACAGTAGACCACCCCCTGGTGGTCAGAATGAGGTTGCAGGTATACAAAGCCTCTCTTCATGTCATAAACAATGTCTGTTCCATTGGCCGGGATTTCCTTGGCCGGGAACTCCCTGTGGAGCGTGACTTTGGCTGACAGGACAGTCACTCGACAAGGAACCACAGCCTGTCTGTCCGGGTTCAGGTAGACAACATCAAAGTAACTGGGAGAAGGTACAAAGAGTTCTCCTTTCTCTGCAAAGCAAGAGACACGGGCTTACTTGTTCTGGAGGAGCAAGGTAAAGAACACTTTATGGATTCGCGACTCCAGGGCACAAAAATGAGAGGAGACTGACAATATACTCAGAATACTGAGTCCTTATGAGTAGAAAAAGCTATTTTTAAATAATTTTCCTCTTTCTGAAGAAGGATGCTATTATTTCCCATCTCCTTAAGGGAAATAAAATAGGTCTTAGTTCAAGCCCAACTCAGGCCCATGGGTTACTCCCTGAGGAAGCAGGGGAGGAGACTGATGTCCATACGACCAGAGCAGCCTTAAGACCTGGAAACAATCCGCTGTGTCTCTGGAGAAATTAGCCCCGTGACCTGCTCGGGAAGTGCTGTTGGAGGCGGATCCCAGCACAGCAGAGCTCCCCCAAGAATCCAGCCCAGTGCTCCTCATTCCTGCCAAGGCCCATGGAGAGGGAATGGAGAAGAGACAGATGAGGAACCTGCTACCGCTAACCTCAGGTTCTGAGCTCAGCTTGGCTGCCTCAGGGCTGGGGACCTCCAGCCAGTTTCTTATACCCCTGTTCCCTCTCAAGTTTTAAGCACAGAAAATGGCATTTTTATCTTATAGAAATGAGGAGAAAATGGCATTTTTATCTTATAGAAATGAGGAGAAAATGGCATTTTTATCTTACAGAATTGAGGAGAAAATGGCATTTTTATCTTACAGAAATGAGGACTGGTATGCCCCACCTTTCCTTAGTACAGAGGACTTTGAGTTGAGGTTTATTTTTTGTTTGTTTTCGGCATGGCACGTTAAATCTTTTGTTTTCTATACTATGAGAGGATATTATCGTAATTAAGAGGTCATTTAACTTAATTACGCCCCAACACTTGTTCAATTGTTTCCCATGTTTTTCCTGCAATGCTCCTGAAACAACCAATTATTCTTGGCTCTCTCCTCCACTACCCTTCTTTGTGTGACAGTCCATGTGATGTGTTAGGTCAGGGACAGAATTTCTGGATATATCATCACATGTCTTCATGAGCCAAGACTTCTTTGCAATGGGTGCAACTTAACTAACATGGAAGTCCTTCCCCCTGGCTCTGGCTGAGGTCAAGGGAGAGTACGCCATGGCTCAGAGAGGCCCTGTCTTTTCTAGGCTTTACGTCAGCCTGGGTGGTTCATGCCACTTCATGAGAAACTGGCTTTCAGGCGTAGGCAAGGGGCACCTAACAGTCCTGTGTTCACAAAGAGCAAATCTGCGGGGCCTTGGATATGTCATCCCCATTGTAAAGAGAAGAATCCAGAGTGGACAGTACTCAAGATATCTTTTTGGCCAAAACAGTTAAGGAGTTTATGACTGCAAGGTTTAGAAGCAACTTTTGTTTTAAGGTTTTGTAGAGAAAAAGAACCAGTGAGCAAAGCCAGTATGATAACAATCAGAATTCCACAACACAAAAATGTGGTCTTACTTGGACATGCTTTGAAAAGAAGTGACCACACCGGTTGCTTTAACAAATAGAAAAAAATTTCACTTATAATCAGTACATTCCATCTACCCAAAAAAGTATGTTAAAGTTCAAAGAATTGTAGATGACATATGCCCCTTGCAAATATGTTTGCATCTACTTGAGCAGATAAAAAATATTACTTTATGCCCTATCCGGTTTGGTTCAGTGGATAGAGTGTCAGCCTGCGGACTCAAGGGTCCTAGGTTCGATTCCAGTCAAGGGCATGTACCTTGGTTGCGGGCACATCCCCAGTGGGGAGTGTGCAGGAGGCAGCTGATCGATGTTTCTCTCTCATCAATGTTTCTAACTATCTCTCTCCCTTCCTATCTGTAAAAAATCAATAAAAAATATTACTTTAAGAAAACTAAACACATGAAAATTTAGATTTCCAAAATAATTACTTCATAGGCTATAAGCTAAAATCCAAATGATTACAACTCCATACAAGTGCTCCTTAGTGTGGTTTTACTGCATATGAAGACTGGAGCCCAAGCCCTTTGCCACGAGAAAGGCCTATTGTCAGTCATGTTCTCCTTCTTGATCTGGTGGCAGTTCCATGTGACTTGAGGATAATTTATTTGAGCTGTATAGCTATGATGTGTGTACTTTTCTTTGTTATACTTCAATAAAAAGTTAGAGAGGGGGAAAAAACGCATGAGTGCCTCCTGGATAAGATTAAATATAATATGTGACAGTCGCACAAATTCACACAAAAATTGCACAAATTACCAATAATCAAAAGGAAGCTTCACAGTGTTTGCAATCGAGCTCCAGGGAACACGCGAACATAATGAATGCCAGACGTTTCTCTGTGTGGGCAGAGGGGAAGCATATGTTCTGAAGGGAGCCAGCGCCAGCAGCAGAATGCTCAGCTCTCATCACAGCCCATCCTGGTTTTGCAGACTCACCCAGGCCTGAGAAGACAAACTGCTAAACCCTATACTGAAAATCCAACTGGATTCTTCACTTGTGTTGAGGAATGCTACAACACATTGGTCACCCCCGCCACACACACACACACACACACACACACACACTTGATTGATTTCAGAGAGGAAAGGAGAGGGGGAGAGAGAGAGAAACATCAATGATGAGAGAGAATCATTGATTGGCTGCCTCCTACACGCCCCCTACTGGGGATTGAGCCCGCAACCCGGGCATGTGCCCTGACCAGGAATCGAACTGTGACCTCCTGGTTCATAGGTCGATGCTCAACATAATATCTATGTTGAAATAAATATTAATTTGGGGGTGTTCCTTTGATTCACAAAGGGGCTTCCCTGAATTGAGGGAGAAGACCTGCCTCTAAAACTCAGAGAGAGCCCAGGACCCTAATAGGACATTTTGCTCAAGGGAGGTCTTCAGTTCAAAAATCTCAGTTCGAAAACCAATGTTTTGGGAAGACACAAAAGGGCTAACTGTGACAGAAAAGTCCTCATTCTGTCATCTGAAATAGGCTATCAGTCCTCATCCAAACAACAGGCCCTGATTAGTCTTAGTTGCCTTTTCCACTGTGGCTTCCCAGGGCGGTGTAACACTAAGGCATGTGGGCTTTCTGCGTAGCACATTCCAGAATGAGGATCAGAAGGGATTACCTGTGAACAACTGCGAGCAGTTCTCCTGACAACACCAGTTATGCTAGCTAGTGCCTGTCTGTCTGCCCATCAATCCACCACCTGGTCTTCAAAACGGGCCAGGGCAGTAAGAACATTGGATCCTGGGTCAGAAAAGCAGGGCTGGACTCTTTACTCTGCCGCTGTAAGCCATGAAACACTGAGCAGGTCACCTCGCCCTCTGAGTCTCAGCATCAGCGTCATTATTTCTCAGACAGAGATAATAAAGCAGTGTCTACTCAGTTCCCGGGGGCGTTTGGAAGTGAAATGAGATCCACGGGCCTCCAGGCCATGAGAGGCGCTGGCCAGAGAGGCGCTCTCTGGATGGGAAGGAGTTATATGTGAGGTTTTGTTGAAGCACTCATTAATGGCCAGGGCATCAGGTCATTTGAGTCATAGGCCTAAATCACGACAGTCTGAAAGGCAGATGGATTCAGGAAGTGGACAAATCTCCTGAAAGTGCCTGCCTACGACACTAAGAAAGAATTCTGGCCCAGCTGGCATGGCTCAGTGGTTGAGCGTCCACCTATGAACTAGGAGGTCACGGTTCGATTCCTGGTCAGGGCACGAGCCCGGGTTGCAGGCTCGATCCCCAGTGTGGGGCAGGCAGGAGGCAGTCGATCAATGATTCTCACTGATGTTTCTATCTCCCTCTCCCTCTTCCTTCCTCTCTGAAATCAATTTTTTTTTTTTTTAAAAAAAGGGAAGAATTCTGACTTCACCAGGGGGTGGCCTCTGTAAGGCCCTGAAACCCCTGACCGCTGGGCCCTGGAGAACGCCATCCCCCTCCTCCAAGAGGGAGGGGGCTGCAACCTCCTTCGCAATGCCTTTTCTCTGAGTGCAATTCCACCGGCAACGCCATACCCAGCACTACAGGAGAGGAGAGTTCACTCTGACCTGCGCCTTCTCAGGCACCTCGCTCAGGCTCAGGGACTGGGGCCGGAGACTCAAGGACCACCACCTCTGGGAACCCAGCCCCTCAACCCTCAGCTCTCAGCACTCACGAGAACAAACACAAGGAGGCCTTTGGCCAGGCATCCCAGGACTGTGGAGGTTCCAGAAAGACCATCACAGATATGAGAGCACGTGACTCAAAGTCGACAGCCGGGCTTTCTGCAATGATGGAGCTGTTCTCTGTCACGTGTCGACTAGGACAGCCACCAGCCGCCACATGTGGCAATGGAGCCCTTGAAACATGTAAGGGCCACGGAGAAACCGAGTTTTAAATTTTGTTTAATTTTAATTCCCACTTAAATGTAAATAGCCCCAGGTGTCCAGTGGTTACCATATTGGACAATTTAGGTACAAACTCTGGAGTCAGACTGTCCTGGGTTCAAATTCTGATAACAGGCATTCCTTGTAGTGTGACCTTAAGGACTTACTTAATCTCTCTACACCTCAACTTTTCCATTGGGAAAAAGAAGTGGAAATGATGTTAGTACTCACCCTGAAGGGCTGGTGAGAGACTTACCTGAACTAATTGATGGAAAGCATTGAGCCCAGGGCCTGACAGACAGGGGGGGCTCTGACTGTCATTATTGATATTCAGCACACAGTGGAACCTTTACCCTGGGCAAGTCCAGATGTTGGAAGAGTCCACTGAGGCAGCAAACCTTTTACCTGTAAAAAAGATGTAGGTGGAGCCGGTTTTGGTCTCGTCCTTCGTGCAGATGTAGCCGGTGCAGAGCTGCCCCCAGCAGCTGAACTCGCCGGTGTCGGCCGCGGTGGAGTTGACCAGGGTCAGCTGGCTGTAGCGCTCATGCTGCTTCACACTGTCAACAGAAGCAAAGCCAGTCACACACCGGGGCCTTCGCCCTCTGCTCCCCTGTTCTCACATATAAATGCACACACCCGGGCCTTCGCCCTCTGCTCCCTGTTCTCACATATAAATGCACACACCCGGGCCTTCGCCCTCTGCTCCCCTGTTCTCACATATAAATGCACACACCCGGGCCCAGGCCTTCATTCTCTGCTCCCCTGTTCTCACATATAAATGCACACACCCGGGCCTTCGCCCTCTGTTCCCCTGTTCTCACATATAAATGCACACACCCGGGCCCAGGCCTTCATTCTCTGCTCCCCTGTTCTCACATATAAATGCACACACCCGGGCCTTCGCCCTCTGCTCCCCTGTTCTCACATATAAATGCACACACCTGGGCCTTCATTCTCTGCTCCCCTGTTCTCACATGCAAATGCACACACCCGGGCCCGGGCCTTCATTCTCTGCTCCCCTGTTCTCACATATGAATGCCCAGTGGGTTGGGGCAGAGTGCCCTCTCTCTGATGGCACAAACTAACTAAAAAAAGTGTGTTTGGGGGAACGTGTGTGTGTGGGGGGGAGGCAGAGACAGGAACCTTCTCTAAAGGGAATTAAAAAACAACAGTTATGGCCTGGGCCAGTGTTTCCCAGTGGTTACAGTGTCAGCCCTCGTACCAAAGGGTCACAGGTTCAATTCCCAGTCAAGGGCACGTACCTGGGTTGCAGGTTTGATCCCTGACAACCAATTGATGTGTCTCTCTCACATCAATGTTCCTCTCTCCCCCTCTCCCATTCACTCTCTCTAAAAAGCAATGGAAACAATAACCTCAAGTGAGGATTTTTTAAAAAAGAGAGTTATGTTTTCTAAAGGGAGGAAATTCTCCTCCATCTCAGAGCTGGGGTTTCCTTAAGTAAAACCACTGGTCCACTGCGACGCAGGCATAGAAACTCGGCCAGAAAGCCTGGGCCGTGTTCCGCTTTCAGCTTTTGTTTTTAATGACTTCACTGCAGCCACAGTTGACATAAAGGAAATAACCCAGCGTTATCAGTGTGCACAATCTCTTTCATCAGCAAGGACAAGTCTCTGAATAAAGCTTGGAATCTTCAGAATGCTGTATTATTGTATTAAAAATGAAAACTTTGCATAATTCTCTCAAGATTATGCTAAGTGAAATAAGTCAGACGGAAAAGGACAAAAAACCCCACCTATGATTTCACTCATATGTGGAATATAAAACAAAAAGTAAAATAAGGGGACGGAGGGATGGGAGGGAAGAGATCAACCAAAGAACTTCTATGCTTCTATGCACATATGCATAACCCATGGCTCAGACAATAGTGGGGTGAAGGCCTGGGGAGGGGATGGAAGTGGGGAGGACGAAGGGTCAATGGGGAAAAAAGGAGGACATCTGTAACACTTTAAACAATAAAAATAATTTAAAAATAAAATAAAAAGTAAAATAAGAACTCGCAAAATAAATAAAAACAAACTCATAGATACAGACAACGGAATGGTGATGACCAGAGGAGGGAGAGGGAGGGGGAAGGGCCAAGTGAGTAAAGGGGGTCAGATATATGGGAACAGAAGGAAACTAGACTTTGGGCGTTGAACACACAAATATCAAATTATAATCTCATACACCTGAAAATTATATAATGTTATTAACCAATATTATGCTGATAAACTTAATAATAAAAAATAAAACCACACACAAAATAAAAATAAAAAACGTATTCCAGTCAAGATGGAAGAGTAGGTAAATGCTATGTCCCCTTCCTCCCACAGCCACATCAAAATTACAACTAAATTATGGAACAACCATCACCGAGACCCACCTGAACACTAGCTGAACAGAAGTCCTATAACTAAGGATGGAAAGAAAAAGCCACGATGAGGCCACTTCTGGGTATTTATCCAAAGAAATATAGAACACTACTTCGAAAAGATACGTGCACCCCTATGTTCACTGCAGTTTTATCTACAGTAGCCAAGCTGTGGAAGCAACCTAAGTGTCCATCGATAGATGAGGGGATAAAGAAGAAGTGGTAGATATATACAATGGAATGTTACTTGGCCATAAAAAAGAATAAAATTTTGCCATGTGCAACAACATGGATGAGCCTAGAGCAGTGGTTCTCAACCTTCCTAATGCTGCGACCCTTTAATACAGTTCCTCATGTTGTGGTGACCCCCAACCATAAAATTATTTTCGTTGCTACTTCATAACTGTAATTTTGCTACTGTTATGAGTCGTCATGTAAATATCTGATATGCAGGATGTATTTTCATTGTTACAAATTGAACATAATTATAGCATAGTGATTAATCACAAAAACAATATGTAATTATATATGTGTTTTCTGATGGTCTTAGGCGACTCCTGTGAAAGGGTCGTTCGACCCCCAAAGGGGTCGCGACCCACAGGTTGAGAACTGCTGGTCTAGAGGGTATTATACTAAGTGAAATAAATAAGACAGAGAAAGACACATAACATATGATTTCACTTACATGGGAAATCTGAAAAATAAAATAAATAAACAAATAGGCTAAGAAGTAATTACCAGTTACAAAAATAGTCACAGGGATGTGAAGTACAGCTTAGGAAATATAGTCAATAATATAATAATATAATATGCATGGTTTCAGATGAGTACTAGACTTATTGAGGGAATCATTTTGTAAGTGATATAAATGCCTAGTCACTATATTGTACAGCTGAAACTACTGTAATATTGTGTGTCAACTGCAATTGAAAAATTTAAAAACAATTTTAAAAGAAAAGGGACATTAGGTAATAAGAGAAAGCTGAATAAACTATGAACTTTACTTAATATTGTTTCGATATTGTTCATTAATAGTGTTATATGTGCTATACTAATATAAGATGTTACTAATAGGGGAACTGGGCATAGGATATTCAGGAATTCTCTATACTACCTCTGCAGAGTAATCCTGTAAATCAAAAATAGTTCTAAAATAAAATGTTTATTATAAGAAAATGAAAAAACCCACCACTTTTCTTTAGGACAAAATGCATTAGTTGCTCAGATGCAGAGCCCCAGCTGTGCAGCCCACCTCTGGTAAAAGTATCCAGAGCCTTTGGGCATTCGCACCTCTCCTTTGCCTCACCCTATTATTTCTATGTTTATCTCCTCATGTTTTACCTCTTGTATTTTTATCTTGTCCCTGTGAATGTATTTGCAAACCCCTCCAGTTCCATTTCGAAATGAGGAGAGTCATAAATAAATATGTATTACTATGAAACACTAGTATTAGCCAGTTGTCATTGTGATGCATTGTGTCAGGAACCCAGATGTGTCATTCTGGGACAGATGTTCCCCTGGGGCTGAGCCTGTGCAGATGCCAAAAGAGATGGTTTTAATCTGGGGATGTATCTCAAATATCCAAAAGTTTCACCCCCAGGAGCGCCACATCCTTTTCGGATGCAGTCGAGGTTCTCTGGTTGTGTGTAGCAGCCATATCAGTATAGTCACCCTTTAAATTTAGCTCACAGCAAAATGTCTGGCCGGCTGGCCTTAAACACAGCCGGCCTGGCTCACCGCTGAAGAGCTGTGCCCACCAGCTCTGCCAAGAGGTGCCTCTGCACTCCCACTCGGGTCGACTGCCTCCTTTCAACTGGACGGAAATCTCTCCTCCTTCAGGAAGCTTCTAATTAGAATAGACTCCCAGAGACCTCCCCGATTTTTCCTAGTGATGTAACTGGTCCCTTGTTCTCTCCCCCTCAGGCATCCCTGGCTTCCTGTTATTTACAAAGGATGGTGACAACTTTGAGGGCAGGGACTGTGCCATACTTGGCTTATATTTCCTAAGCAATAAATCTGTGCAGAGTACACAGTAAGGATTCCCTAGAAATGAGTGGACGGGAATTGAATCGAACCAAGGGTTGGAACTGGAAAGAACCTGGAAAAGCAGACATCCAGCTCCCCGTATTGCTGGAGAGGAAACTGAGTCTGAGCAGAAGTGACTTCCCTGAGACCCACAGCTGGTGAGCACGGAGTCGATGACTTTGGTCAATTAAGCCTGTAATCAATACTCACTCGTCAGATAAGAAAACGCACAGAAAGCACTGCATGCCATGCCTGGTTCACGGTATTACCCTAATTATAGCCTCATTACCTATAACTGCAGATTAGTAGCAGCTATTACGCATACTACTACAACAATGACACACACACACAACATTGGGCATAGTTAGCACTACAAACAAAAACCAGTGGACCTCAAGGATATTACAATCCAGTTAGGAATTATAACTAATATACATGAAAAAATCAGAGAATAAGCAACAACAGGAATTCTGAAAAGGGATTCACCACAGTGGGCTGAAGAAGTTGAGGCCAGCTCTGGGAGGAGGTAAGACAAGCTGGACTTTTAACAGCGGGGGTGAGAGGCAGCGGACAGCAAGGAGGCTGAGAAGCAGTGAGCTCACTTGCTCAGGAAAACTCCAGCCCCATAAGGAGTGGGAGGGACCTCTGTTCATTGCCATAGTCCCAGTGCATGGTGGGTAGAAGGCACTCAATGACTGGGGGAGTCAATCCATTAACTGTGGAAGGAGACAGAGGGAGGGGGGTTGGGAGTCACAGGACATAAGGTTGAGAACAACAAGAAGGGCTCACGATTCACTCACCAGGCAGGAAGGGCCACCTTCGGTTTGGGAGATGGGCAGTGATGGGCCCACCTTAGCCAGGTCACCAGTAAAGAGAACAGGAGTCGGGAGGCAGGAGGAAGAGGAGAGGCTGAGAGGCTGTTACCATGATACTCAGCAAATGCTGGGGCCCGGCTGGGTGTTGGCAGTGGCAGTGAAGCAAATGTAAGAAATGTTTTCTTGGGGAAATTTTTTGACAGACATAGTAAGCAAGGTGGAAGAAAGAGAGATATCAATAATGACCACTTACTTTATATTTCTATTAAAAAGAATGTTGTGTTTTTTTAAAAAAATGTTTTTATTGATTTTAGAGAGGATGGGAGAGGGACAGAGAGAGAGAAAC